TCTCCCACCTGAAGGCATTTCCCTGCCAGGCATCTCCTTTCATGGAATACTCAGCAAGAAGCAGCAGGATTTTGAGTGCTTCTCCAGACCAAAGCCAGGGAAGACATTTCCAACTACCTGGTGAGCACAAACACATCGCAGAAGTTTTGAAACTTGAGCAAGGAGCATAATCTGTATTCTCAAAGTCTGCACAGTGAGGTTTCTTCACCCCAGGCAGGCACCCCAGTGTCACTCTGTCCACTGAACCATGAGCAGGGTGCCAAGGCAAGTTGGGGAAATGAAGAAAGCTTCAGCCATTCTCTCCAGACAGAAATTACTCAGCATTTCTACCAGCACATCACTGAGGTAAGAAAGGCTCCTGACCATTCCAATCAATCTTGCTGCACTCGGTCGGTCAGTGGTTCCTTGGTTTTTACATACAATTAACAAAGTGCAGTTTCCAGTAAGTGATTGCAAATAAATCCTTAGGTGCTCAACAGACAGCAGCTCCAGAAAGTCACACAGTGACACTAGAAAGCCCAGATTCAGATCAGTACTGGGGTTTCCAGTGGCTGATTGTGTACCACAGCCCTGCATAACAACACTAACACTGTTTTCCTGCCACCAAGCAGTGCCCCAAGAATTATCCTGCAGTATGGAAAGTTACACAAAGGCAATTTCTACCACAAATTTAGAAGACAGCGTGAAATTTAAGCTCTTTCCATTTCTCAGCCATCAGGAGGCAGTGGTAGCTGTCAGCAAACCAGAGCACTAGTGGTTATGGAGAGGTATTAACTGCTTAATCCCCAAAGTCCTGTTCTCAAAGACATGTTTGTTTGGGTTTTTTTCTTAAAAATCTCCTTCTGTCTTCTAAGCCCAGCCCTGATGAGTGACAACAGAGGTTTAGCCCAGAAACCCTCCTCAGTAATCTCCTGTTTGGACAAAAGTCTCTTTCCATTGCCCTGCCCAAACTCCCAGCTGTGACATGCTGTGGGAATGATCACAGGCATCCTAAAGCAATAAGGAATTTGCCAAAAGACTCCCAGGTGAGGCTAGAAAACAGATCCCACACCTCCCAGACAAGCTGTAACACCTGACACCATTACCTGCTTTGCATCCAAACCCAAATACTTCAGTGTAGGCTCAAGGTCTGCCAAATCCTGCTGGAACAGAGTGCCAAAACACCCCTTCTCATGGCCTACTCTAAGAAGTTTAAGTTGTCTCAATGATGCTCTGGAAGCTCAGAATTGAGATTTTCCACTAGAATATAACTAAGTATAATAAAAATCAGACAACTGATTGCTGAACTACAGCTAATCCATGATTACAGCTTTGTTGAGCATAGCTCAGAGCAACTGTGATAACACCACAGGTATTGCAACACACACAGGAATCGAAGCACTTGCCAGTTTCATAGAATCACGGAATGTTTTGGGTTGGGAGGGACCTTAAAGCAGGGACACCTTCCACTAGACCAGGCTGCTCAGAGCCCCCTCCAACTTGGTCTTGAACATTTGTACCAACCTTTTCAGTCCCAAATCACACAAACCTCCGGCTATCAGAGCATACTCCATGAGTTGCAATGAAGGCAAGAGGATGGGCAATGCTATCCATCTCAGACACTGCTTTCCAAGTGTTACCATTTGTAAAGTCTGAGGCACAGCTGGTTTTTGCAGAATTACTAAAATATTTCCAAACACCCTGCCAGGAACTGCAGGAGTTTTTAACACAGGGATTAAAGCAGGTAGCTGTACCTGGCAGAGCTGCTCTGCTCCAGCACAGAGCATGCAATTCCCACCTGGCTGTGCTACATGAAACTAAAAAAACAATCCTAAGGCCAAACCTTCTCCTGTTTTTTCAAAAAACACTGAGTCTATTTACATCAAGTTCATCCAGGAGTTAACCACAACGAACTTGTGAATACAGGGACTGCATAAACATGACTTCAGCACAACAGAAAAGGACTGGAAGGACTCAAACCCATCCTCAGACACCACAGCTCTGCTCTGCTCCCCCCTGGAGAAGAGTCAGAAGCAGGAGGAAGAACCATAACAGGCTGTCCTGTTTAGAAGAGGCAGACAGCCCCCACTTTTCTTACACTTTATTAACGTTTTTCCCAATCAGACAAAAACCCCACCACAGCAAAGTGGGCAAATGCACTACACTCACCTGCTCCAAGGGCCCACGTGCACTGCTCTGGTTCATTTAGTGTGGTGTCTCTCCAGGCTAATAAAGCCTTTCTCAGCTGGGATGATGGCAGTGTCCCACAGGGGAACCAGGAGCAGCTCTGGCCTCCACCATCAGCTTCCTCCATGGCTTCCCCTGCCAGCCAGCCAGCGAGGGCTGGATCCTGCTCTGCTCCCTGGTGCCACACACCCACAGTCATCCTGTGGGACCTCCCAGTCCCACACCCATCATTATCTGAGCTCCCAGGACCCCCCGAGCAAACCATTCACTCACAGTGCCAGGGTTCACCTCTGCTCAGCTCAGTGACCATTAGTTCAGCTTCTTTCCACAGCCCTGTCCACAAAGAGAGCCCAGAACAGTCATGCTCCACTCAAAATGCATTCAAGTTCCACCCTGAACAAAGGTAAAAATATCCCAAATTTAAGGAAAGAAAACCATTAAAAAACCCCACCACAAGCACCACAGTTACAGTTCTAAAGCAGCTGGACAGAAACCTAACATTAAAAATCCTGATTCAAACCCAGAATATGTAAAGGGGAAAAAAATGAGCCGCCTCACCCTCCATGTGTAAGTGCAGAATAGGAAGTGCAGCCCCCAGGACCACCCACACCCAGCTGGTGACACTCAGAATTAGGGCTGATAAGAGGATTCAGGTGGGGAGAACACGAGTCCCATCCCGCCAGGGCTCTGCTGTTGCCCCCGAGAGGAACAGGACATCCCCCCACCACATGACAGCTAAAATCCCAGTATTGAGAAGAAACATGAACTGAGATTAGTCTTGACATTTCTGGGTCTTGTAATCACAGTGGGTGACAAAAGCAAATTCTGGATCAGAGCTTTTCCCTGAGCAATTTAAACACAGCTATTTTAAGAAGACTGAGCTAAACAAAGGGGCGACAGCCCAAAAGTTGAAAGCCACAGGATGTGGGGTCCTGGGATTATGTGATAATCAGGCAGCCCAAGAAGTCTCCAAACTACATGTACTTTTTGGAAATCAGGGTGAAAAAGCACTGCCCCTGCACAGCCTTCTGCCCCTCGCCCCATCCATTGTTCTTGTCCCCCCACATGCCATGGAGAGGCACTGCTGGCCAAAATCATTGACCCCCTCACAAGGTGAAGGCTCAATTCAGGAGGAGGAAATAATGTGGCAGGAAGCGAAAATTAAATCATTTCAGTGGAAAATGGAAGGGAATGGTTTTTACATTCATCTCCTTTTATTGGCATCTTGTCAAAGGGTTTTTATTGGGAAACCACAGTTGGACCCAGGGACTCTGGTGGGGAGAAAAGCTGTGTTTTTCCTACTTGAGGCTCAGTGCCTCCTGTGAGATATCCCACAGCAACAGGAGATGGGTTTGAGGTGAAACTTGAACTTTTGGTGCGTTTCCCCATCAGACCTGTCCATTCCTTCTTTGGCAGCCAGTCCAGCCATGCTGGCAGAGGTGTGAGGCCCTACTGGATCACTGCACACTCCAGGCAGTCAAAGGCACCAGCCACTGCTGGAGGCCAGGAGAAACAGTGACACCACTGAAAGGACAATCCTCTTGCCCCAGTGGGCAGGACACAGCCACTTCCAGACTGGTCTGGCTGGTCCCACATGGTTCTGACAGCCCCATGGCACGGCACAGCCTGTCAGTGATGCTGGGGAAATGTACTGAAGAATTTATTGAATTGATAAGATTTTAAGAATTTGTGAGAATTTAAGAATGATTTATATTATTATATTATAATTGCTAAGGATTTATTATTTAAAAGGTATTTTCCTTTGGAGAAATGTATTTAAGAAAGGGCAAAATGCAGTGAGGAGAGAGAGGGAAAATGATAGAAGGTCCTGTGAACAGCATGGGTGAGGGAAAGAGGGGAAGGACAGGTGGGCCAGGTGCTGCTCTGCTCCCCAGAAGCCCAGACAGAGCAGATATCCAAGCCTGGGACTAATATTAATTAGTAATAATTTTTTTGGGTTTTGTTTGTTTGTTTGTTTGTTTGGGTTTTTTTGTTTGTTTTTTTGGTTGTTGGGGTTTTTTTTTGTTTGGTTTGGAGGTTTTTGGTTGGTTTTTTTGTTTTGTTTTGTTTTGTTTTGAACTTAAACCCAGCCTGTTTACCCGTATTTGACCGTAGTTTTACCGGTGCATGATCTTCCTGCCCTTTACTCCATCCACCCATGGTTTGTTTCACCTCCCTTCTCCCATCTCGGCTGCGGACGGGGCGTGAGGGAGCGGCAGGTGTTGATCGGGGGCAGCTCAGCACGGCAGACCTGGGTCAGATCCCGGGCAAAACCCGTAGCCCGGCCCCGTCCCTCCGAAATGCCCGGCCCTGGGTGCTCCGTCCTGGTGCCCGGTCCTGTCCCTCAGCAATGGCCGGCTCTGGGTGCTCCGTCCCCTCCCCGGTGCCCAGTCCTGTCCCTCAGCAGTGCCCGGCTCGGTGCTCCGTCCCCTCCCCGGTGCCCAGTCCTGTCCCTCACCAGTGCCCGGCTCGGTGCTCCGTCCCCTCCCCGGTGCCCAGTCCTGTCCCTCAGCAGTGCCCGTCTCTGGGTGTTCCGTCCCGCCCCGGTGCCCGGTCCTGTCCCTCAGCAGTGCCTGGCCCTGGGCGCTCCGTCCCCTCCCCGGTGCCCATCCCTGGGTGCTCCGTCCCTCCCCCGTTCCCTCCCTGGTGCCCGGTCCTGTCCCTCAGCAGTGCCCGTCTCTGGGCGCTCCGTCCCCTCCCCGGTGCCCATCCCTGGGTGCTCCGTCCCTCCCCCGTTCCCTCCCCGGTGCCCGGTCCCCGCCGCTCGCAGTCCTCCGAGCCGCCAGGGGGCGCGTTGGCGGAGCCCGCCCTCTTGGCGGCGCTCGTGCCCAGCAGCGGAAGGACGCTGATCCGGCACGTGCCCATGGAGGCCGGCGGGTCCCGCCGCCTCAGGTGGGGCGGAAGGGGGGAAAGCGGGGAGGCAGCGGGGGAACCCGCGGTGAGGGGGCCGGGAAGGTGCCATGGGGAACCGCAGACACCCGCACTACGGGAAGCCGCGGGAGCACCGGGGGAGTCTGCACTATTGGGGACCGGGGAGGCACCGGCGGAACGCGCGGTACCGGGGAAAAGGAGGCACTGGCGGGAGCCACCGATGAGGGGGCCAGGGAGGGACCGGCGGAGCCGCGGTACGGGGCCTGGGGAAGCACCGGGGGAACGCCCGGTACGGGGATCTGGAGGGCCTGCCGAAGCACGGGAGGCCCCGGGGGCACTGCTGTCCGGGGTCCCGGGGCTGGCGGCCGCTCTCCCGTCCCTCACCACCCCGCTGTTCCCCGCAGCCCGGCGGAGCAGCCGGAGGGTTGCCAGGCCCCGCGGAGCCCCCGCGGGCAGAAGTATTTCCTCCCCGACGGCTCGGCCGGGCAGGCCGAGAGGCTGCGGCGCTGCGGCGAGGAGCAGTGGCGGCTGCTCTGCGAGGAGCGCCCGGAGCGGCCGTAAGTCCATCCTGGAGCGGCGCTGGGAATGGCTTTCCCCGTGGAAGGGGTGATGCCGGCGGGCAGAGCACAGCTCGGGGGTTACGGGTGCGATCCCCTTGGCAGCAGGAGGTGTTGGACACCACAGTAAACCCCTGTTGGTAGCAGGAGGTGTTGGACACCACAGTAAACCCCTGTTGGTAGCAGGAGGTGTTGGTCAGCGCAGTAAACCCCCCGCAGTTCACCTGCACTCAGTGCCCGTGCTGGAGCAGCAGCAGTGCGACACAGCCTGGCTGTCCCTGAAGGAGCACAGGGACATGCTGGCACACCTGTGGCTGCAGAAAGTCCCTCACAGGGCTCTTGGTTTTCACAGGTGTGTGTGTAATCCTGTGGCCTTTGCAGGTAGCAGCCACTGCCTTCTTGGACATGATCCAAGTTACAGAGTGTCTTGTTGATGCTCCTGTGTGGCCTGTGCAGATTTGACCAGGTGTCAGTGTCCCTGATTTATCAGTCTTGGTGGTTTCAACAGTGCTGCCAGACTTTGGTGTTTATCACTTGGGAGGCATTCACACCCACCTCTCAACACACCTCTGCTTGGCCTGCAGCTATTATTTTTTCCCTGTGAGTCCCCGTGGGTAGGGTACAGTGATTAGAGGACGTCTTGGCAGCAGCTGAGTTCTGTATGATACAGAATCACTGAGTGGTTTGGGTTGGAAAGGACCTTAAAGATCACCCCATCGGACTCCCTGCCATAGGCAAGGACACCTTCCACTAGACCAGGTTGCTCAGAGCCCCATCCGACCTGGCTGTGAATGCTTACAGGGACAAGGCAGCCACAGCTTCTCTGGGCAACCTCAGAGGTGTTAGTTCCTCAATATCCACATATCCTGCATTAGGCCCTGCATCTCCAGCAAGGTGCTGTAGCCTGTGGACATGTCTCTGTGGTGCTGACTGAAGACACTTTTAACTTTTTGGTGGTGATAAAGTGATGCTGCTAGAGCCAGGGGATGATGGCTTTCTGATGCCTTGTAAAAATGCCACCTGGAAACTTGCTGCCTTTGACACCTCCCTGAGCTTGTTTTGTGCTGCTACACCAGGAGCTGATTGTGGGCCACACTAGCAGTAACAAATGAATCTTTATTCTTCTCAGGGGGAATCTGGTGAAGGCTGAGTGGAAACCAGAGCAGGGCATCGTGGAGCTGAAGTCCCCTGCGGTGAGTGCCACAGAGTGTGCTCAGTGCCATCATCTCCTGCTGCCTCACAGATTCCTTAATTTGCTTCATGCAATGGAAGGGAGCCTGGCTGTCAGCAGGGAGCAGCCAGAACCAATCAGGGATTTGTGCTCCTGTTCCAGGGAAAGTTCTGGCACACCATGGGGTTCTCAGAACGAGGCAAACAATGTCTGCTGCCCGAGGAAGCTCTGTACCTGCTGGAGTGTGTAAGTAGGATGAGGGCACTGGGTCCTCACTGGCTGGGGGAGCTGTAATAACTGATAAACAGCTGCTTCTCAAAGAATTGTCTCTTTTAGTGTCTTGCTGATGGACCTGTTTGTCACCAGGCTGTGGGTTCATACCCTGTACTCTCAAGCAGCCTCTGTGTCACTGACAGAGTGCGTCAGTTGGATCTGTGGCCAGTTCATTTAGCTTAAGCAGAGATCTTTGGGGTTGCTGCTTGGAATTTCTTCCCAGTATCTATGGCAGAAAGAAATTTAAATGTGGCAGACAGAGTAGTGAGACCACGTTGTGTTCAGTGCTCCTCTGCTTGCAGAAATGCTGCTTAGGGCTCAGCTGGATTTCTTTGCTGTAGAAAGGGGTTTTTTTTTGGTCTCTCCACCAAAATCTGTTATCAGTAGAATTGGTGCATTGATCTAAAGGGAACTTTTATCCCTCAGCAAAATAAACAGATTGTGAGCATCTGATGCTGATGCCATTTCTTAAATCCTAAAGCAAAGGTGGGGCTTTTTTACCCCTGGCATTGTGACAAATGGTTTGTAAGCAAATTGATGGCAATAAAATGGTTTAGTCAGATGCTGAGTACAAAATCCCCCAAAAGCAGAAAAAACCAGTGAGATGCCTTCAGCCCATGCCATGGAAAAGGTGTGGTTCCTAGGGTTTTGTTTTCTTTATGAGTAAACACCATTTAAAAAGATAGAAAGGAGGAAAAAAGTGTAGCCTAAAACCTCCTGGAGGTCATTTGCTGTTCCCAGAGGAAGTTACCTATGGGATCTCTGGGTCTGTAAAGGAAGTAAATGCTTCTGAGGAGGCACCAATTGATGCCACCTGAAGCTGTTGTTCACTCCTCTGTTCCACTTCTCAGTTTTGCTGGTGTAAGTGCTTTTGTTGTTGTGCTGTATCCTGAATCACTCAGATCATCAAAGTTAGGTTCTGTCCAAGCAGTTATTATTATTTTATCAGCTGAGTATTTTGCTCCCAGGTGCATCCTCCAAACAGGAGCAGGAGCTGAGAGCTGTGGGTGGGAACTTCTTACCTGGCTGATCAAACCAGGGTATGGGGGAACTGGGTATGGGAAAGGGACTGTAAGAGGTCCAGGTGGGACATGGGGAGAGATGGATATCCTGTCAGGGAGGGACCAGCTGTCAGCAGCAGTGGGAAAGGACAGGGTGTGAGCTTGCATAGATTTGTTCCTGTGACTCACTCCAAGTTTCTGCCCTGCAGGGCTCTGTCCAGCTCTTTTACAGAGATGTGCCCCTGTCAATCCAGGAAGCCTACGAGACCCTGTTGTGCCAGGAGGCAATGAGCCTGTCACATTACCAGGTGTGTTGGGACCTCCAGCTGCTGGAGGAGGATGAAGGCAGAAAGGCCAGCCTCTGCCACACAAGCTCTTCCAGTGGCTGGAAGCAGGGTAGGCTGACTGGGGAGGGAAGGGAAGTCATCCTCAGCTTTCCCACTCACCTTCTTCCAGATGTTCAGTTCCTGTTTCCCCACCTTTGCTTTGGGTCCTAACCCTGGCATTTGCTCCTCTGCCAGTGCCACGCTGTGTTCACTGTCCTGGTTTTAGGGCAATTTTGGGAGAAAAACCTCTAAAAGAGGTTTCCTCTAGAAAGCAAATTCAAGCAGCCCCTCCCACAACTGCTTTGGGAAAAAGATTTCCTTGGAGAAAAGTGGAAAAAACTGTTCATTTAAAAGGCAAAGCATTCACCAGCACAGAAAAAAAACAAACCCCAGTATTAAACTATAAAACCTCTTGCCCCTCCAAAAGAGATGACAAACTCAGAAAAGTCCCCTTAGTGGGCTGTAGCTTGACTCACTCAGTCTCTTATCTGTCCCTCTGATGCTGGAAATGCCACAGCCCAGGCCTGGCCCAGTGGGCCACAGGTGTGAACTCCCAGTGCTCTTCTGGTATTTGGTCCAGAACAGGCTTAAACAGGTCCAAAGAAAAAGAAAACCCACAGTCCAGGGAACTTCTCTGCCTCAGCTAGCTAAAAACTAACTGAAAGCAAAGGAGAGCTCTGTCCCACTGTCTGTCCATCTGCAGACAACAGTCCAGGAGCAGGGATCTGTAGGAGTGAGTGCAGTGTCTGAAAACAAACTGCTGCTTCTTCTCTCCCCTCTTCACTCTCAGAACCAATCTTAAAGGTGCAAAACTTATTTCTGGGCTAAACAGATGAATGGGGATAAAAGCATCATAAAGTCACCCCAGGACATCATTCAGTCATAGTGGAACTGAAGTAAATTTGTTTGTGTTTAGAGCTGTCATCTAACATTCTTGCTTTCCTTTGCTCTAAGGTGTTCAGCCATTTGAAGCAACTGGGTTATATTGTACTGAGATTTGACCCCAGGTAATCAACTTTTCCTTCCTGTGCTGCATTCTCCTTCCTGAAGACCCTGAGACTCTCTGTAGCCACTGCCTGGCTCCAGGGAATGGCACCAGAGAGGAGGACTTTGACCCTGCATTCCATCTCTTGGGAGGATTAAAGGCTAAGGGTGCCACTCTGCCCTTCCTTGCTCCTCCCTCCTGAGGAGGTGATTTGGAACATGGAATGGGGCATGAACTGAGGGCCATCCTGGTCCCACTTGGGCATTTTCTGTGTCTTTGGTTGCTGTATTCTGGGCCCTGGGCAGAAGGTTGTTCCTCTACATCACCCTGCTCTCAGCCTCTGTGTTGGTCTCTCCTTCCAGCACTGTCCTGTCTCCCTATGAGAGGCAGCTGAACTTGGAAGGTCACTGCAAGAGCTCTGGGAAACAGCACTGCAAGAGGAGGAGGAGGAGTTCCAGCCCCCGGTAAGAAGGCCCAAAGCCTTCTCCCATCCTCTTCAGGCCATGCTTGCTCAGGAGCAGCTGCTTTGCTGCAGTGTCCCCAGGCCCTCCTGCTGGGGGTGACCTTGTATGGCACCTTGCTCTTGGCTGTCCCCAGGCAGTGCAGCATTTTTCCTGAACGCCTTGCACTGTTCCCTTTTGTCACACGTGTGTGTCATGCCAGGGCTAAGAGGGGCAAATTGTCCCCAGGTCCCCCTGTGGTGCTGAGATGTCACAAGAGAAGAGTGGAGAAGTCAGTGCAAAAGGAACATGTGTCAGGCACCTCCTCCTACTCTCTTTTAGCAGGAGCACAGCTACCACAGTGCACATCTTCTATTTATCCACCTCCTCAGTCCAACTTACCTGCCAGGACTCAAAGCAGAGAGCAGACTTGTGCCCTAGGGCTTGCACACGTCTGAAACATCCCCACAACCTGACAATGAGCAATTCTTCTCATAATTCTGACAGTTCCCAGGAGGTGGCGTCAGCCTTTCAGAAACGGGGAGGATGAGGCTGGAGAATCTCTGTTGACAGTAAATCAGTGCCTGAGGAGTTTGGAATTGTAGGAACTGAGAGATTAAACTGCTGGTCTGAGAACTGCCCCATCTTCTCTGGAATCAGAGTCTGAATCTCACACCAATAAGAGGTGCTTGGCAGGCAGGTTTCTGCCTGGCCTGTGCTGCTTTGGCTGAAGTCCATAGTGTTTGCATGGAGGTGTTTGGGTCAGTGTCTGGGGTGTGGAGCTGGCATGGCAGGTTGGGAACATTGTCTATACAAATCAAGGCTGAGATTCTCCTGGGCGTTGAAGTCAAACCTTGTGCAGGACTTCTCAGAAGTTTAATCTGCCTTTGGCATTCACTCTTTAGTTTTGCCTGCTTTTTTTCTTTTCGCATTTGTCTCACAAAGAAGTTGTTCTAAAGGGTTTGCAGACCTATCTGGGGGTTCCTGCCACTTTTGCTGTCCTTCCTTCAGGCTTGGCAGACTGCATTCTTCCTGTTAACAGGGAGCAGGCAGAATTTAAAGGAAAGCAAGCTCTACCACACGCTCTCCCTGAATTTTTTACTGTTCCTTTGTCTTTAGGTTACATGAGAAGAAACATAAAATATGTGAGGACCTTCCAGAAGGTGAAGGGACCTCCAGCAAAGATGGAGATGACTATGGAGACTCCATTCCTGTGGATGAAAAGCCCTTGTCAGTGCAGCCAAAGGAACCAGATGCTGTCAGTGCAGAGGGGGAGTCAATGCCAGTTCCTCTTGATACAGGACAAAAGGACTCTCTGAGCTTCTCCAGCAGGCAGGCTGGAGACCACAAGGAGAACAGCACTGGCACCCATGCACCCCGCTGGGATTTTACCACCATCACCTTTCCCAACATGGCCTCAGACCAGCCCTGCACACACCTGCCCTCCCCTGACAGCAGGCTCCTGCCAGAGAACGTGCCAGGCAGGGAGGTGGATGCAGCTTCCTGGTGCACACAGATCAACCAGAAACAGGAGAAGCTGTCGCGGAAGGAGAGGAGGCAGCGCGAGAGGGAGAGCAGGTACAGGAGCAGTGTCAATGCCGACCAGGAGGTGAGGTGCTGCTCCAACTGGCAGGAGTACAAAGCCCTCTTGGAGCAGAGGAGGCAGCAGAGGGCTTGGAAGCGACCCTCCCACCTCTGGAACCAAGCTGTCACACCACTGCTGCGGCCAGAAGAGGTGACCTCACCAGGTAGAGGCTCTGGGAACCTGACAGGGACCATCTCTCTCCCCCAGCTCTGAGAAAGAGTGTCTGGTATGCAGCAGCAAAAGGGATGACATGGAGAAGCTGAACTTCAGTCTTGGGGACAGTATTTTGAGCAGGAGAATCTTTCTATAGCCCACTCAAGTGCCAGGATAAACAAGGCCTTGGGAGGGCTTCTAATCCATTCCCCATGTCCTGCTGTATTGCAGTCCTTCCTGCTGGGCTGTTAGGCATGTGCAGTCAGGGCCAGCAAGATGCAAAGCAACTGCAGAGTGTCTGGGCTGTGTGCTGGGAGGAGATGAGGAAGTTGAGGTCTTTGAAGTAGCCAGTGGTGACTGTGGAGCTGCCAGCCATTGTCAGAGGAGGAAGGCTCGTGGGTGGTGTGGAGTGCTTGGAGTGCCCTGGGAGGGAAATTGCTGGTCTGATCCTTTCCCGTTCCTTCTCCCTCCAGCTGAGCTCCTCGAGCAGATCAGTGTGCTGCAGCCCTCCCACATCCTGGATGGAGCCTCCTGGTTAGTATCCAGCCAGTCAGCTTGGAGCTGTGGGGAGCAGGAGTGTCTTGTGACTGTCCCTGCTTGTGAGGTCTGTGAGGTGCTCCCAGCAGCAGTTTGGGAGTTGCTGCACATCCAGGGTGCCAAGAGAAGGCAGTGCTCTGCTCCATGACCCCCTAGCATTTCTAGAGAGGGGGTGACATTTCCGTGAAGTGGCAGGTCCTGCAGCAGCAGAGCCAGGGCTTTCCAGGCCAATTAAAACAGCAGGGTTCCTCTTTTATCCTGCCCTTCCTTCTCGGCCCACCAGCCAGAGGTTTGATTGGGTTTCACCTGTGCCTCATCCCTGGAATGTGCTGCCATCCCTGCTTCAGTGGTTATGAAACCTTGGCTTTGGGACTTTGGATTCTGCTCCTGCCTCAGAGTTGTGCGTGGTGCTTGTGAGCAGTTCCTGCAGTGCTTTGCTCCTGTCTTAGTGCTGCTTCTTGTGAGGGTGTAGGGTAGATGTGAGCCAGGATCTTGCTCTGCTCTGACCGCAGGAAAGCTCTGGAAAGTAATTGATACAGTTGCAGGGTCAGTCCTTTGAGGAGTGAAGCCTTTCAAAGGACACAAACTAGTCAAACCTAGACCCAAACTAAAGGGAGTTTTTGCTCCCTCTTTTCTCTGCTGCACCCATACCCTGCAGTGTTCTGATGCCATACCTGTGTGGGTGTGTTCCCCTGCAGGCTGCAGGAGGACCCAGAGGCCATGAAGATAGACTTCAACGTGTACCAAGCAGATGCTGTGTCCAAGTTTAAGAAGACAAAGCCTGGGAAGCCCCATGTCAGGATGTGTGTTCGGAGGTACCCACGAATCTTGTGCTGTTTCTGAAACTTTGCAGTTGCTGTGGAAACGAAGTCCTAATGATCTGTAAATGACCCAACATCTTGTGAGCTTTACAGATCATCAATGTCTCACTTGAGGGTGGTCCTGCCCAGGATTTTTTTTTCTTTCAGTTCCTCATCCTTTGTTGGAGACTATGGCCGACAGTTTCCCCCCTCTTCCCCTGCCCTTGCATTCAACCCACACTGTTTGGTCATGTGGTTGCTGCTCATGTCTGAGTATCACTGGGAGTCAGGAGAAAGAAGCCACAGCTTTTATGCAATGCTTGTGAAATTCAGGTAGAACCCAGTGGTACAGGAGCTGAATCCTCAGTCAGTGCAGGTCACTCTGGAATTCTGCAGAGATGAACCTCCCCAGAGCTTGCTACAGGCTCTGAGCCATAGGTTCAGTATTTTGATCTTTGTCGAGTGTAATGTTAAAATCACTAAGAACAGGGGGTATGTGTCCCCTTTCTTGCTGGATCCAGAACCTGATACTAGAACTCTGTAGCTAGGTACAAAGTTCAGTTTCTGCCTTTTCTCATTTTGCTTTACTGAAACTGTCCCTCTGCTCTCTGCAGCTGTAGTAGACAGAGCAAGGAAGGTGGTAATGCAGTTTTACCAAGGTATGTCAGCAGCCAGTAGGATGATCTTTGTTGCCTAAATACTTTCATTGATGAGCAAACAGACTCTGCAGAATTAAAAGGAGGGAAAAGCAGGTCAGATGTTGATCCCAGCAACCTAAAGATCTTCCCAGCACAAGTTTTCCTTGTTTTTGGCAAAAGATTCACCAGCTCCCAGCTCCAGGCATGCTGGGTACTCACTCTCAGGACTGCAGTGGGTGGGGAGAATCACTACCAGCTCCTCAGGCCAAAGGGAGCTGATGTGATGGCTGGCCAGGACAGCTTTGCCTCTGTGTTCTTCTAGCTTGGAGAACAAACAGGATGTTTTTTTCTCTCTGTAGCTTTGATGAGCAGATCCCCTCCCTGCGGGCTTTGAAGCAGGTGACGTATCTGAGTGGGGACGTCCCTCTGGTCTTTGCACTGGTGGATCATGGAGAAATCACCTTCTATTCACTGAAGGAGTTCAAGCTGCCCATTGATGTTTATCACTGAAGCTGCTGTCACTTGCAGAAATGGAATGGAATAAAGGGAACAGTTTTACTCAGGAGTTGTTTTCCTGATTAATGAAATATTACAGAAAACAGAGCCTGTGATAACTGGAACCTTGGGAAGTTGGCCACTTTACTGGCTTCACACACCCAGACGGCTCAGGCACAACGTGTGATTTACAGTACACGAGTCTGTTTGGCTTAGCTGGGCTTTTCTGGGCTGGAGTACACAGTGCTTTGTTCTTGAAGCCACTGGCTCTCCAGCTTTCTCACCTCATGGACCACCAGCCTGCCTTTCCTGAGTCATCTTTTGCTGACTGTGGACCATTAGAAAACACTTTGCTGGTGATCCTTTTGTCACATGTAAAGAACCACTGTGCTACACCAGTGGAATGGTTGGAGTGTCACTGAGGTCAATCAGGGACAGAATAAGCTGATCAGTGCTGGTGGCCTGAGCCTGTCATTCAGCTGTGCCAAGGACCATCAGATCAGATTCTGGTCTGGAAAGGGCACAGCCATAAACTCAGTCACTGGAGGAAAGTTTCCAGACACTTGAGAGCAGGAAACTGTGCCTTGAACACAATTTCATCAGCCAGAGGCCACAGAAAGCCCCAGAGCATTGCAGATGGCAGCCTGGCCTCCTGCAGCACCTGTGCTGAGATGCATTTTGGCCACACAGTGTTAAACCATGCTAAAACTTCACCACCACTATCAGCACACTGCATCTGGCAGTCTCACCTGGGCTGAGCTGCAGCCCCTCTCCTTCAGCCCAACATCCTCTTTCCTGGCTGTGGATCCTTGTTATTTCTCTTGCACGTGGGATGTCCCTGAGTAAAGAGAAAAGCTATAAATTCCTCAGGAGCTTTCCAGTCTGCTCTCCACCAGGATATCTAGGTACCAAATTTGCTTTAGCCTCTATGCCAAAAGTGCCAGGTGCCAGAAGGTCTGCTCAGTGGGTGGAAGTGAGCTAAGCAAGGCTGTGTTTGATATCAAAGTTTTCAGAACTGTAATAGCAACTGGTTTAGATGTGTTTCATTTTTTTTTTTTTTATTCCTTCTGGAGATGTGGAGAACGCTAAGCAATAAAAAAAATCCTTTTCCAACAATTCAAGCTCCTCGGTGTGTTTCTTAATTCCCCTAGAAATGTTCAGTTATGCAGAGGGAGGCTGCTGGGACCCGAGCAGCAGCAGCAGCAGCTGGTGAATGCCTGCTCAAGGTCATGCTGTGGCTGTAACCCGGGTAACCCTGCTCCTCCGCCGGCTGTTCCCGGGGAGGGCAGCGTGACTCACGGCCTGGAGGTGTCCCTACATCCTGCTGGCACGCGGCACCTCTTCCTCCTTCATCTTCCTCCTGCGTGCTCAGGGTATCGTAGCCCAGGGTGCCGGGGCTCTCCTGGCACGCCCCCGTTATCAGATGCTGGAAGTCGGCGGGGCTCTCCTGAGGTGAGGGGTCTGGCTGCTCCTCCCACGCTCCCTCCCCTTCCTCTTCCTCCTTCCAGCAGGGCTTTGGCTCCGATAGTTTCGCTAAAGCCGGGGTTGGCAGCCGCAGCTGCCCTCAGCATTCTCCTACAGATTAAAGGCGGTGGGAAGGGAGTTTCTAAGAACAAACGCAGCCAGGAGAACTCCGGCCTGACCCACAAGGCTCGTGTTTGTCCTGGAATTAGGTCAAACTCACTCCTGTTGATTTCAATCAGTCTCATCTCTTTATGCCAAGGTGGAATTGTATCGATGAACTCCACGAGAGCCACCCAGTGAGTTTCACTGGTGCAGAGACTCCCTGATTCAGCACAAGACAATTACAATTTAATAACCACTGCAGGGAGGATTGAGAAACTGTGGCTGCCTTGCTCAGCACTGTAACATCTGATGGTGCCTTTACCCACCCCAGAACAGGAGCGTGATCCAGACTGATACCACTGCTCCACTTTGGCCTGTGATGCAGATCGGCTGAGCATTGCAAGAAGATGAGAGAACTGAATGTTTAATTGAAAAACAACTTTTGAAAACGTGGGTGAAATACTGCTACTGGACCCTTGCCAGAGGTAATTTCAAGCTTTTGCATGGATGCAGAGTGGACAGGCTTTCACCTGCCATTGCCGTATACATAAATACAGCTTCTTTGTCCATCTGCTGTTCCCTGCAGCAGGACAGGGCATGGCTGCTGCGGGACTGTGCGGTGGGACTTTGTATTCCTCTCTCCAGCGAAGGCTTCGACTTTTTGCAAAGTCTGCCAATTTTCACAGGCAAGGCTGTGAAAGCTGGGATCTCCCTGGCGGGGCTGGAGCCGGGAGGAAGGGCCTGGAGTCCGGCCCCGGCTTTCCCCGCCGCCCTTTCCCGGGCCGCCTTTCCCGGCCTGTTCCCGGTGCCGGGTGCCCGCGCTCCCGAGCCGTGCGGTGCCGCTCTCTGATTGGCTACAGCGAGCGCGCTGCTGAATTATTCATGAGCGCGCCGGCTGAAAGGGAGGTGGAGCCGCGGGCCGATCTCATTTGCATGCGAGACCACGCCCATACATACAGTTTGCATCGCAGGGCCCCGCCTACCGGGCGGTCCCGCCCCCGGCTCCGCCCGCCGCGCCCCGCCCGGAGGTGCCCGCGGAGCGAGGCCGCCGCGCAGCTGAGGGCGAGCGGGCGCGGAGCGGAGCGCGGCCGGGGCGGCCCGGCCCCAGCCCCCGCAGGTAAGCGCCGCTCGCTGGGGCCGCGCGGGGAGGCGGGAGGGGTTCCCGGGAGGGGTCCCGGCGGGAGGTCCGGCCGGCACGGCCCCGGCAGAGCTCCCCGGGGCGGCCCCCGCCATGCCCGCCCGTGCTGGGCTGCGCGGCGGGGCCGGCAGGTGCTCGCCGTGCCCCCGCCCCCGAGGGGGTTCCCTTCGCCGGTGTCCGGGCTCTCCGCGCTGCCTGGGCCGGCCGTGTCGGGGCTGCCCACACGTGAAGCCCCGGCGCGCCCGGGGACGCCGGCAGAGTCTCCGGTGGAACTTGCAGCCGCGGCGCTGAGGGCTGGCGGGGTTTTGTGTGCGGCTGTGTCCGCTCCCGGGCTCGCTGCGCTGTGTCTGTCCCGGCCGGAGCGCGCAGCCCCCCGGTACCGCTCCACATCCCGGGATTCCCCGGGGGAGGTGGCGGCTGTGGCCGCTCCGGGACTTCCTGCCGGGCCCTCCAGCGGGTCCGGGCCGGGGCCGCTCCCGGGGGCTGCGGGAGCCGCTCCCGCCCGGTTCTACCGTCCGAGATGCCCCGGCCCGCAAGTCTCCAGTGCTGCCGCTGGCTCCGAGCAGCGGATCTTGGAGAAGACGAGAGCAAGAACTGCAGTGACTCTGACTCCCTCGGGATATTCTGTTAGCATCTCTCTCCCTTTTTTTTTTTTTTTTTTTTTTTTTTTTGCTCTATGCCCGTATTAAATGCATCTTGTTACTATTGGTGGTTTTTCTTTCCCCTCCCCAAAGTTGCGAGAACTTGCTGAATGAAGGAGCATATTACTTCCAGCACGCAGCAAACAGGTGTAATAAACCGGTGAAGGAAGTTGTTCAGCCCTTGTCTCAGGTTGCCCTTCACTGTGCCGTGGGAACAGGCTCTTGCTGCTATCTCCCGTCCTGGAGCTGAGGCTTAACCTCGGTGTTGGAGAAAGCTTTGCCTGTTTGTGTTTAGTTTTGTTGATGGTGTAATGCAGTTGAATCAGGCTCCCGGGTCTGTGTTTCTGCAGCCAATGGCACAAAGCCGTGTGTTGGTGTGGGGATAGTGACAGGACAGGGGGACAGCTCCACTGAGATGGTAGAAGTAAAAGTTATCCATTGTCATGTCTTACTTGATGGGGAATGCTGCTCTTTGTAGTCATCTGAGAGCGCTTCAGTCAACTGGAATATCTGGCTTTACCAAGTCCCAGCTGTAGCTGTGTGCCCAGAGCAGCTGCCTGGTGATCTGAGCATTGAATCGGGGAGCTGGTGCTTCTGGCAAGTGGGATGCAAAGCGCTGGTACGGCCCAAGGCTCCTCCATGCGTCCTGGCACGTTCCTGTAGGGATAGACTGGCCGTGGAGGAGATGAGGATGATCCAGGCCAGTGGTGAGCAGTCTCTAATCCTGCTCAGTGCTGCTTGTAGCCTGCCAAGGGGCTCTGTATAGTTCGTGGTATTGGAGAGGGAGAAGAATTCTCAAACATCTTCATAGGATGGTGTTGAGGAACGTCCTTTATTTGGTTTTGAACAAATTGCATCTGCTATAACAGCTGACCGAAGAAGAGTACTGGAGGAGTTAAACCAGTTGAGAGCCCTTTATCTTCCAGTGGCCTTCTGGTATGGTAACATAATTGTTCCTGGGAATTGCTTATGGAAGAGGTGTGTCTTTTCTTGGCTGACACAGAAGCTTGAGAAATGTCAAAGAGCAAGGGAGGTTTTAAACGTATGTCTTGCAGTTAATATATGGCAATAAGAATGTGTGATACTCCCAGTACCATAATCTTTCTTTAAAATACCAAAGGAGGATCTTTCTTTAAAATACCAAAGGAGGCACTGGTTTGGTTTCTGTGCAGAAATCGTGTGAAAACTCCAGTTCTTATATAAACGTTTCTCACAGCTGGATCTCTTTGTGTTGCTTTATGGAGCAAATGCTTTTGTGTGTTGTTCCATCGGCCCACTGTTTGTAAAGTGCTGCTCCAGAGTTACAGGCCACTTTTCTGTTTGGTTCACGCTCCTTAGCAAAGCCTACAAAAGGTTTTGCATCATGGGCAATGATGTTGTTCAGTGCAAAGACTTTGTTCTGCTGTAGCATTTTGAAACTTTGTGTTGTCATGCCCCCATGACAAGGAGAACACAATGGGAGTCCTAATGACACACGAGGTTTGCACAATTCCCAAATTCATTGCAGGTGGGCGGTTCCTGGTAACTCCGAGTACAAGGCTGTTGGCAGTACATGAACTCGCCAGAGTTGTGCGATTAGTTCTCAATTCTTTTCATTGAGTTCTCGGAGAATCAACGTCTGATACTTTGTTTAATGTTGTTTGTGTTTTAGGAGGGCAGCCACCTGCACCTAGTGTTGCCGCAGTCTGTTCAGTTGTTCATTTCACTGTCTGTCTCTCCAGGTTCACTGAAATAAATTCTTTTTAGAGGATCTTTTGGTTTTCCTCTGTGACTACTGTGTGCAAGGTGCACATGAACACTCTGCTGTTCATGAAGCTGCAAGTGGTGGGGGGTAGC